AAGAGACAGCAGGGTCAACTTCTTAGGGTAGCAACCTGGAATGTGCGGACTTTGGCTGTAAACGGGGCCAATGGATACGGACGAGCCTACAGCATTCTACACGAGGCAGCGAGACAAAACGTATCGGTGGTAGGAATACAGGAGACACGGAGGGCAGGTCGAACGGAATTTGCAGCAGCGGGTTTCCGGGTGTTCTGCTGTGGCACGGAGACTGGTGGAGTCCATGGTGTGGGGATAGCCGTCAAAGAGTCACTGTGCAAGACATCCACGTTCACTACGGAGTTTATCGACGAACGCCTTATGGCCATGAGGTTTCTGTTGGCAGGCCACCGTGGAGCGGTCAACTTCGTAGCCGCGTATGCTCCAACCGAACCTTCAACCGCCGACAGCAAGCGCGTGTTCTGGGGAAAACTTGACAGTCTCGTGCGGAGGATCCCTTCCAAAGAATGTGTGTATGTCCTTTTGGACGCCAACGCGCGGACGGGAGATAGGTTGGACGGAGGGGACGCAAGGGTAATAGGAATGTACGGGCGTGATGAGCTCAACGACAATGGCATGCTACTGTTGAATTTCGCAACGGAAAACAGGCTAGCTCTCACGAACACGTTCTTCGAGACACGCAAGGGCGGAATATGTCACACATACAACGGTGTGTCGGGAAACGATTGCAAGCGCCTTGACTACATCCTGACAAGACAGGCACATTACGGCCGAGTATCTAACGTGGTTGTCACCCCCCAGCCGGTTCGCCCAGTCAAAGCAGACTCAGACCACAACATGGTAGTAGCCACCGTCAACCTCGGTGGCAGGCTTGCCCACAACCGTGCAGTCCGGACTAAACCGAAACAGCAACAATTCAACCGACGGGAATTACAGTTCGAAGCAGCACGGGGTGCGGTGACTAATCGGTTCCTCCTCAACCTCGACACACGACTGGATGAGCGAACAACCACCGCCGCGGAATTGGCGACCGACTTTACCAATGCTCTCCTCGAAGCAGCGCGGACGACCCTAGGGGAGGAACCGCGGAGACGCCGCACGCAGGAGTGGTGTGAGACCCCAGAGGCGAGAGCAGTGCTGGAGGAGGCCCTTACCAAACGGCGGGAAGCGCGCCGGGCGATGAGGGGCAACTGGAACCCAGCAACGTGGAGAACTCTCAAAGCAGCGTGTAAGGGAGTGGCTAGCAGTCGAAACGGGCATTTATGCCCACCTGGACGGATATGTGACTGAACTCGAAGCAATCTACAAAGATCGCGACATGAGAGGACTGTACCAACACCTCAAGAGATCAGTGGGCCTCAGCGGGAGACAAGCGGGGGGACAGCAGTTCGTCGCGGATGAGAACGGCGTGTTGCTCCGGAACAGGGACGACATCCTCCAACGGTGGGCGAGATTCTTCAGCACCCTACTCAACACCAAATCCCCCACCCTGAACCCAGACATCATCGAACGAGTGACGCAGCGGCCAGCGACACTGTCAACTCCAGACCTCGAGGAGGTGGCACGGGCAGCGAAAGGCCTCAAGAACTGGAAGGCACCCGGCCATGACTCCCTCCCTGCCGAGTTGCTCAAGATCGATGACGACGAACCCGTTGTCCTGAGACACCTCCATATCATCCTCGTCAAGGTGTGGAACGGAGGAGATATCCCCCCAAGAGTGGGAGGACGCAACCATCAAGGTGCTGTACAAGAAAGGTGACCGGTCCAACTGTAACAACTACAGGGGGATTTCGCTACTATCTCACGTAGGCAAGGTCCCCATCAAGAGCATCACCAACCGTCTAAGCGCCTTCTGCGAAGCCAACAACATCCTCCCGGAGGAACAGTGCGGATTTCGACCCGGGCGATCCACCGTCGACATGCTGTTTGTCGTGCGCCGCCTCCAGGAGCTGGGGCGGAGAAAGAAAATACCGCTCTACATGTGCTTCGTCGACTTGAAGAAGGCTTATGATTCGGTGGACCGATAGATGCTATGGATTCCACCGAAGCTAATCAAAGTCATCCGCCAATTCCACGATGGAATGCGGGCCCGGGTGCGCATGGACGACGGAGAACTATCGGACTGGTTCTTCGTCACACAGGGCGTGCGACAAGGATGTGTGCTATCCCCACTGCTGTTCAACTTCTTCTTCGCCGAGGTCCTCGAGGTCGTCGTTATCCGATTCAGCGAGGATGGTGTTGTTCTGCGGAATCTGGTGTGCTTGGAGGAGGGGAAGACGGAAGCGGACGGGGGGGAGGAGACACCCCTTGACCGAGTACGGAGGGCATTATGGGGGATGCTGTATGCCGATGATGCCGGCGTCGTATCGAGGTCTGCAGAAGGACTGGCGAGAATGATGACCATCATCGTTGAGGTGTTCGGAGAGTTCGGGCTAACGGTGTCGGAGAAGAAGACGGAGACGCTCCTGATGCGCGCGAAAGACAAGCCGACTGCAACATCACAGCCCCCCCCGCCTCCTCCACCACTGACCATCGAAGCCGCGGGACAGAAATACGCCCAGACGACCGAGTTCCGGTACCTCGGTGGCCTCGTCAACGAACATGGCGACCTCACCCGGGAGATCAGCTACAGGAGCAGAGGAGCGTGGGCGTGCCTCAGGCGATATGGCCAGGAGCTCTTCGACAGACCGAAAGCGCCATTCCGACTCAAGATCCGCCTCCTCCAGGCCGAGGCGATGGAGGCACTGCTGTACGGCTGCATGACATGGTCACCACTCAGCGGCCACTATCAGACGCTGCGGTCGACACACCACCGACTGCTCCTTCGAGTTATCGGGTACAAGCGCAAGAAAGACACCTACCGGAAGCTCTCGTACGCCCAGACGCTGAAGAGGGTCGAATGCCAGAGCGTTGAAGCCACGATCCGACAACGACGCCTACTGTTCGCGGGAGCACTGGCAAGGCAGCCGGACGGGCGACTCCCGAAACGACTGATGCTCGGCGAGCTGGCGGGGGGGGAGAAGCCACGTAGGGGGGGACAGGAACAGAACTGGCCGAAGTGTGTGCTCGACGACCTGAAGGCATTCGGGGCCGACCACGGATCTACGAAAACCGACCCATGTTGTCTCGGAATTCCCGTACCGAAAGACACGGCACCGAAGTTAAGATGGACGGAAGCCGCGAACGTGGAGGAGGGAGTACCCTGGCATGCGGCGGTGCTGCAGGGAGCTGAGAGGTTCATGACCTCCTGGCACGAGAAGGAAGAAGAGGCCAGCCGACAACGAGCGCTCAAACGAAACCACAAGCCAACAACCAATGGGGCGGGAGGGGGGCAGGAGACGGACGAGACGGCGAGGGAAGAAAGCAAACGAGAAGAGACGGACCGAGTGGCACGACACGTGCCGGATTGAATTTCTTTTAGCCAATTCCCCCGCCCCAACGCTGCACCATTGCACCAACCCCCCAGTAGTGATTTCGTACCATTACAATGTATCGCTGGTTGGTGGCCATGTTTGCGTGTTTGCTTGTTCGTTAGTGGTCTCTCCACCGTGTGCCTTGCTCTGCCTCATACTTACTTCTTGTCATTTTCAGCCTGGTCCCTCTTTGTCCTCGCCCTTTTTCATTTTATTTTCATTTTATTTCTATTTTCTCTTCTCCTTACGGTTTCCATTTTTCTCTTTTTTCTCTTTTTTCTCTCTTTTTTTCTCTCTTTTTCTGTGCCAGATGTCCTTGTCTCTGCTTGCGTTGTGAAGTACCAAGATTGAACCAAGGGGGTGTACCTCTTTCTCTCCGGCCCATGATAGATAGTGACTGCTAGTCTCAGTTGATACCTCGCATAGCGCGAAGAGGGAGTGGAGGATTCCAGAATATCTGTCGTTGATTTCTATTGACTTGCGGACCCCTCGGGGCCAGTTTATTTGAGTGTACCTTTTTGAGGGTAAGTTAACCTGTGACCACGGGAATCGACCGCGTCGAGTGTTGGATCAGTACGGACATACGAAGGTACTGGGTAGAGAGAGATCGGAACGGTTTTTAATGTGAAGACAACAACAACAACAACAACAACAACAATATATCGAACAAAGCATTTCAGTCAATTTTTTACCAACAGGCTGCGGCGAAACGATTTGGCGGCCGAAACGCATTGGTTCCGGTTCTGAACCCGATTGCTGCGAAAGAATTGGTCCCGTAGAGTGTAGAAAAAAACAGAAATCGTAGACACACAGATAGCCCTTCGCTGACGCTATTGATTCATTGCTAATCTATCTTGGACTTTGTTCTGTAGATAGAGATGGATTTATTGTGTCATACACTGTAGTAAGAAAAAAAAAAAAAACTGGCGAGGGTTCGTGGTGTATGCGTATCTGCGCATGGCATGCTACGATAGACACGTCAAACCACGAACGACCTCGCGATTGCACATGTTTTTTCTGAGAACGGAGAGTTCATCTGCCAGAAGGAAGGCGAGACATGTATCTCCAGACATCAGGATGTCTCCACATTGACTCCAGACATCAGGATGTCTCCACATTGACTACAGTAGACGAAGTGTCGAGAAGCAATCGAACTGTCGACCCTCTTTCCCACATAGAGCACATCTCTCCTTCCTCTCACCTTCCGCTGACTGCGTCTCTGTGTCTACTCCCTATGGTGCAAAAGATGCCACAACTTTGTATCACAGTCGGAAGTTCTAGCATACAATGCATACAGCAGTGGGGGGGAGTGTCAAAAAGCTGTTCCGTGTCGACCTTTGCACGCATCTCTCTTCCCTCCCACTGACTATCTCTCCTTTCAAACAAACCATTCTCTACAAAAAATGATGCCACCACCAACCGCAAGAAAGAGTCTAGAGCCAGATCTTGTGGATACGTGGATACCTGGTTTCACGTGTACTACAAGTGCATGTTAGGGTAAAGTCTCAAAATACTGTTCCGTATCGACCTTCCCACCCATCTCTCCTCTCTCTCTCACTGCCCCTCTCCATGCAACAGAATATGCCAGGTCGAACAGCAAAGCAGCAGTCGGATCTTCTTGTCTTCGGGAAGAGTCTGACAAAACAAATGTTCCGTTTCGACGTTTCGACCTTCTTCACACATATCGCCCTACGTGTTTTTTCACGACACAGAGAGCACGCCCCACACGCCCACACGCCACTCTCCCCCCCTTCGTTTGGAAGACCGCTATACTTCCTACTTTCCGACGACCGACAGGTAAGAGCGTGATACGTCTTGCGGGCAGGTAGAGGCCAAACAGTCGACTACACCCTACATACATAGGCATCATTCGTCTCTCCACACCGTACTCTCACTGTTCTCAAGAAACCGACGTCGTCGATCTGATATGACCCCATGTTATAGCTCTAGTAGTTGTGCCATTCCGTTCTTTATGCCCTGCCCGGCGTTGCGGACGTGTGCTGTGGTCGTGTGCTGAATTGATTTTTCAGATACAGCACGATGGTCAAACTTGCGGTTTGCCTTGTCCTCGTCACGGCTACCGTGGCACTAGCCGGCGGTTCGTATCAGGTGCGTACGATTTCCTTTTGGGGGAGAGGCTGCATAGACTGCTGTAAAGAATAGCGCTTCATCTCTTTGCCCTCTCCTATGTAGCGCGATTTTGTGGCTGGATTTTGTACACTCACAACAGGTAAGATGCAACGAATATTTGTCCACCGCAGCAATTAAATGCGATAGTCTCTCGCGGTACTGAGGTTCTCAATTGCCTTGATGGCGGCCACCGCCCCTACTTCGCATTAGGGCATAGGCGCGTGACGGGCGGGAGAATGTTCGACCAACCAAAAAAATGCGCCGCAGCAGGGCTGTGTGAGGAGATCGGGCCCGGCTCGTGCCCTTTCAGTAGGCGGGAAACAAAAGTGCTTTCCAGAAAACGCTCTTCTTGAATGCTTGGGCGAGAACCATGCTTAGCCACCCACAACATTATCTAAACTAACCCTTCGCTGTATGTGGTCTGTATCGTGGTGAGCGTAGTTGTTGATAGTTTCGGCTGGCCAAATGTCGCATATCCGGGAAACTTCGAGCGAGGGAGAGATTCAACCGGCCCATGAATTTGTTCGATCTGTAAGGTTGTACCATAAATACATATAGGGCGTACACCTGAGGGATTCGAGGAACGTGTTTGATATTTTCCGATGGGCTTCATTTCGTGTTCATACAGCAGACCCTTGGATGACAAAGGATGCTAGTTTGCAGTATGCACATCCCAAGTGTGTAGGACGATCCCCATGTAGCTGAAGATTTGTCCAGAAAACCCGAACAATAATACAATATGCTTTTAATCTGGGTCCTAGGCTTTCCTCGAGCTGAATTATCCGTATCGAATTTCAAGGCTGTTGCTGTTCCAGCCCACTCAACAACTTGATGTGAAGGCACCCACAGGACGATAATCGACTGCGTTCACAACGAACGAGAGGAATTAGTCACACTCGTTTTTGATCCAGATCCCGCCCAGTCCTTACCCTCTCCTTCCACCACTCACTCCTCTTGACATCATGTTGTCATGACAAAAAACGGCGGGCGCTACATGTATTCAATGTTCCATTTGAGTATCAGTTGCTTGTTTCATGCGCTCATGTTCACATCGCTTCGGCCTCTGTGACTCTCCGCCTGTTTTTCCCGGATCGCTCCATTCACACTCGTTTGCTTCTTTTCTTGTGCAGGGTGAAGGGTTGAGGAATGGTCAGCAGGGCGCCCGAAACCCCGAGGTACGATTAGTTTGACACCCAAGAAAAACGAGTACACAAACTCAAAGTACAGACACCTGTATCTGGTTACATACATCTATCTACAGCAGTAGTAATGTTCTACCAAAGGGGAGACTTAGGAGCGCATCACAATACTCATAAATACCATTTTTTGTAGTGCCAGGTGTCACCACGGATGGTATGTGGGCCACGACAACATGCGATTGCTGCACTAAAGTAACAAACTGCTATTTGCATGACTATTTGCTGTAAACGTGTTTCGCTTCTCTCTCCGATGTACGCATATCTATGTATATGAATGATTGTATTGTTTTGGCGAACTCCCTCGCTTGCGTTCGTTTGGGGCGTCGTGTCTACAGAGAATGAAGAAGGAGAAGAAGGTGGAAGCCAAGGCATCCACCGATCACGAGTACCTCGGCTGCTACCGCTACAACAAGGACATTAGTAGCCTCCTGAAGAACGGGAAATCGTTCTACGACAAGACGGATCAGGCCCTGTGCCGCGCCCACTGCGAAGAGTACGATACAGCCTTCTATGCCATGGAGGTATGAGTTTGAAGTGTAACGCCTTCGGCCATGTCCTGTTTGGATGGGAGTGGTAGATTGAATCACAACCACCAATATGGTGCCAATACGTTGTTTGATATTGCACGGACCGAAGCACCCGTGATCTCAGACCACATCCCTACACACAGATTTGAAGCAGGGCACTCAGGACGTACGCCATAAACATCGTCCCTTGATATCGACTGCACAAACGGAACAACTTGGCCACCAGTGGTTAATGCTGACAATATGGATCCATACGCGACGGATTGATTCTTAAAGACTCTCATTTCCCCCGCTATTGAGTTCATCGTCTTATCGTACTCCCCCCCACTTTTCATATTCCAACAAAACAGCACGGGGATATCTGCTGGTGCCCTACTTCTCCCGACATCAACGACTACATCATAGACGATGTTGGTAACTGCGACAAGCCCTGCACTGGAGACCCGAGCATTTTTTGCGGTGAGTCCAAATGAAGGGCAAGCGACATATGAGGTTGTTTGATGGTGCAAGGTGGAAGGGAATATGTGAAGGCGGAGAAAGGGGGTATCAACACAACTAAGAGAGGCAATGAGAAAGCATTAGCCACCCAGGCTGTCCGTCACCGCGCCTTCTACGCCCTCCTAACACGTACCCGGGCACTTGTAGCATATCACGAACTGTTGAGCCGCTGACCCATCCAGCCGACCATTGGTTAGGATACCGCCCTTGTTTACGTTAGGATACCGCATACATACGCTTACCCTCCTACCCTTGTCGCTTTTCACCATCATCACCCCCCTTACTCCAGGCGGGGTCTTCTCTATTAGCATGTTCGAGTACCAGGATGTCGGCAGCTCCACCGGCACGGGCGAGTACGAGGAATACGAGAGCTCCAGCGGTACTGTCCAGGAAGACGATGACGACGGTTTCAGCAGCTCCACTGGTGTGTAAACGTGATTTTGACACCGGGCTTTACAGCATAAAGTGTCTATTTCGCCCCCTTGAAATGTATCGTTTGGAAATATTTCGTGTGTCGTATATGACCTTGGTTCCCTCATTGTCATTTGGTTTTTCTTGTATGGCCCCCACGACTCATATGATTCGCTTTCGTACGCCCCCAGCGCCTCGATTTCATTGTACTCGATGAACACCGTGCTATCTTTGTTCACGTGATCGTTGTTGCACAGAATCGGTTTGCACCAACGGCGTCTCCGGCATCGAGTCCGACGGTGTTTGCTGCGAGATCAGGTACGTCGAAACAGTCATGCGTAGCCCACTCGCCATTCGGCAGTTGGGATAGCGTTACTTCACGAGGTCGCTAGCGTATTTTGGTTGCGATTTATATATCATCGTACCATGGTATATGAATGACAGCGGGTAGCCTCGCGTGCCGACCACTCTCGGACCCGAACTCTCTTCCCCCCTTACCTCAACTTAGGTCATGTCTCAATCTAGGTGCCTCGTTGGACGTGCCGCCACTATTCATATGTGGGGTCTTATCTCAGCCCGAGATGGATGGCATATATATATCGTCTCTTGACACTAGAGAAGAAAGCATGGCTCCCCGTGAAATGCGCCATCCCCGCAGCCAGGCACTCGTTAGGTCATGAATGCGTGTTCAGGTCTTGCCGCGATAGTGCACATTAGGCAATGGTACAACAGCAACGTAGACGATCGCGTGTGCAGGGAGCGCGTGCGCTCCACGACGAGCGTGCCTATCACTCAAATCCCTTTCTCCCAACTCACCACCCCTATCCCATGCGGTTTTCGAAATTTCGGGCACCTGATGAAGACTTCGAGGGCCTGCAAACGCTTAATGGTTCGCGACCACATGTGGATGTTTTCATAACCATAAGAACAAACCTCGTTGTTTGGGTGCATTTGGTCTCGACGCAGTTGCGGGCAGTGCGGCGGTTCCGGCTGTTCATCGCGTGGCAACGGCGCCCAATCCTGCTGCACGAGCACAATTCTGGAGTTCGGGGAAGTTTGCGGCGTGGCACCCTGCATCATCTAAGGCGCTGAGGGAACGTTCTCACATGTATGCACCAACGTTGAAGCCGGTTTCCCGTTTCTTAGGGTGGTGTTTGGTTCTCTAACGTCGTTGATAGTTGCTGTCATCGATTTGGATCAGTCTATGTCATTGGCCTCAACATCCGACAACGACATTGTCGTCTCCGGTTTCATTTCATTTCGCTTTCTACGGCCCCGAGACGAAGGGCAATGCCGGAGTTACTGTCAGAGAAACACACGGACCAGCGCTTGAACGGCCGTGCAATTCCTGAAACACTCCTCGTTCTGCCCCATTGTTTTGGTTGTTTCGCGTCTGTACCTGTCCAGACGTACCAGGATCAGTGACTGCGAGACATGAGGGATATACCATGGTATATGAGCGAGCCCAAACGGAACGACCAAGAGGGTCCGCGCTGTTGCTTGCTAAGGGAAGGCTTGTATTCACAGATGTATCAACATGGACATTTATGTGTCGACATGTATTATGTGTCGCCTGGAGCAGATTGAACTACAGTACCAGAACTTCGTCTTTCTGCATATGATAAACGACGTCAGTATCTAGGCTGTTCTTTGCGGGCATCAGCTGTTGCTGCCGTGGCGGTTTCTAGGCACTAAAATGTGAAATCTACTCTGGAGATAGTCGCAATATGGGGTTCCAGGGTCCATTGGTTCTTCCGGATTAGGTCTGGTTAATGCCTGCATGAGGTGAAGGCGGCTCGAAAATAAGTGATGCCGAAGAAATACGATGGGAGAGGCATGTCTGGGCGTAGAGTTTTTAGGATATGGCCCTATTTGTTGGGCAGTGCCTTCTGACGTGTCATCACTGTGTCGGGCTCTGTGTAGAGAATCCTTGGGTTCCACGGAGGTCGATTCAAGTTTGGTCAGCATATGTTGAGGTGTGGTCTGCTGTGCCAATTTTTGCTGGCGTTTGGATGTTGCTTGATGTGCTGTAGTACATATCGGTCTGGGCAAGACGTCGGTGTTGGTGTTGACGTTTGAGAATCAGAAAAGCATCTCGTTTGTTGAAAACCGAGATCGTCATCTTGGGCCGACGAAAACGACCTCTGACTGCGACAGAGGACTGCCCACCTAAGGTCTAATCCCCTTGCCGGTACCCCTCATCCCCATTTGCTCAACTCCTCCAGAAACACTTCCACCGATTCGCCCCCGCCGCCAACAAAACGATCCCATCAGTTGTGACTCAGGAGCTTTCCTTGCCGCGCCGGCAGTGAGATTCTGAGGCTGCAACAGTATCCTCCCACCGGACTCTCCCTGCCCCACGTGATGATTGCTGCTCGACCCAGCAGTTTGGATATCGTCTCACACATATGGCGTTCGTGATAGTCTTGTTGTCTTGTGCAAACCAGTGACAGGAGGCAGGCACAGGTTTGCATGTTTCAGGAAAAGTTACAGTAGGGAGCGCTGTTAGCTTAGTACTTCTAGTATATGTTTGAATTGGTACAACTATTTCTGGACATTGCATTGGAGGAAGGATTTGGCACGTGTTCATGATGAGTTATGATTGAAGCCCCCGCGCTTTCCGTATGCTCGTTTTCTTTGCCAAGAAGTGGAAACAAACTTCGTTTTGTTCGAGTATGTTGCGTCAACTATGTGAAGCTGTCTTCCAATGCCCGTCATTGCTCCGACGCTTGTCTGATGAAGTAGCACAAATGCTTGTTGGCTGGTCTTCTGAGGATGAAAAGTTTGTGCTGACTGTTTGAGATCACATCCCGGGACGAATGCATTGGTTCGTGGATGAACTGATGTGGACGCTTCGCGCTGAATTCATAGATAGTAAGTTTTTGTAGGGCATATCCAGTGGTGTTATTGGTGTTTTGGTATACATATTTGTATAGGTCTGTGGTTGGATGATATTTCACAACGGACTTCAATTCAAGGTCGTTTGTCGTATTATCAAGTAGGGGGGGCTGTTTGGGGTACATGGATCTGGACACAAGACATCCGATCTGGGAAATACATGTGTTTGGGGGGTATGCTGTTGGGGTCCAAGTGCGGGGCCTATTGAGACAGAGCACGGACACGTGGGAATTGTTGTCTACCTTGGTTGCTCTTTACCTACAGTATGTCTGTGTGCTGGAAGGACCACGGTGTGCGGCACTCAAGGTGTATGTCATCAACATATGTCCTGGGTGAACCTGTTGTCCCAAAATTCGAACCCTAAACTCCGCGGGAAGGCGCGGACGGCTACTAGTCCTAATCGCAACGAAAAGCAAGCGTGCTTGTCGGTGAAAGCCAAGCTGCAATCGACCCAGCAACCGCCGTTGAGTGCTGTCGGGCGGTGCCTCTTTGATCGATAATTCGGGTGGCTCAGTTGTGTGTGATGGGAGCGTAGAGCAGCTCGGCCATGACGGGCCGCACGGGTAGGTAAAGACGTGTAGACGTGGTGAAAAACGTGTTGTATTCATCGGGGGCGTGCTTGAGCTCGTCATTCCATCACGGCATCAAGTCACGCATAACGCTTTAATACCCAGAACGAATCTCCATGAATCTCCACCAATCTACTACACTCCCAAGGAAAACACAAAGAAACTTCTTGTCCCTCCGTAGTTCGTCACTGCAATCCCCGCATATGTATACGCAATATACCACCCCCATGCTATGCTACGAGTATATCGAATAGCCCCCCTGCTCGTATGCATCGTCATGCTCCAACAAAATATCAAAGTCATCCTTATCATACCAGTTCATCCCAAAACAAATCAAAACCAAGACAAAATCGAAAACTCCAACACCAAAACAATACCTCCAAAAACAATCAATCGCATACCAACTCTTCCAAATCATCAAGAAAAATCCCGAACATTAACCTTCCAAAACACTACCATCTCCACTTGACCCTCTCTATCTCTTGTTCAAACTCGTACATATCCTCTCTCTTCCACTCAACGGCAAAGCACGATTTGATCCCAAAACACCTCTGTCACTGCAAATTCATCACAAAGTCTCTGTGCAACGCAAAAGATTCCTTGCTGATAGCCTTCGTCAAGAAATCTGCATGCTGAAACTCCGACGCCACATGAGTAATCGAAATCTCCTTCCTCTCTACCAGTTCCCTGATAAAGTGATGCCGTACATCAATGTGCTTCGAGTTTGAGTTCGTGATCGGGTTGTGCGCAATCTGAATCGCTCCCTGATTATCCTCGAAGATTTGAATGCACGGCATACCTGCATCTGGCAACATAAAACGCCAAACTTGCCTCAAGAAAAGCACCTCCTTCAAGACGTCGGCAATTGCCACATACTCTGCTTCCGTTGTGGAAAGCGTAACGCACTTCTGCGTCCTCGAAAACCAAGTCACACACCCACCCCCACACATCACTAGTCCTCCTGAAACCGACCTACGGTCTGCTGCCTTGCTCGCATAGTCAGCATCCACGAACACCTGCATGCTCATGCCAGTCACCACACCCCTCTCAAATGTAATCCCCATCCAACTCGTCCTACGCACGTACCCTAAAATACCAAGTGCTGCCTTCCAGTGCACCATCTTGGGAGACGCGCAATACCGCGCTACTGCTCGTACTGCATTCGCGATGTCCGGCCTGGTTTGAGTGGCCAACCACATCAGGGATCCTACCAACTCGCGGAAAGGGACATCAGCACACGCTTCGTCCTCGTCAAAGTCGGTGAGCTTCATGCTCACAGGCAAGGGCACACTCTTCCCCCACTCTACGCCGTACTCTGCAGCCAACTCTTCTGCAAACCTTTGCTGCGAGATCCTCAAAAGGCCTCTCTCTAGATCTCTCTGGTAAAAGCACGCGGAGTACCACCTCAACTCCCCAAGGTTCTTCACGGGGACCATCTCGTTGAGGTCTCTGCCAAACTTGTCACATCTCTCCTTCTGCCCTACGGCAAAAATGTCATCCACGTGGACCACGATGATCATGATCACACATCCATCCTCCATAAATCGAAAAACACATGCATCCGCCAAACACTGCACAAATCCTAAAAGTAACAAACACCTCGTCAGGTGCGCATGCCATTGTCGTGACGCCTGCTTCAAACCGTACAGACTCTTGCATAGCTTCACGATCAGTCCAGATAACCTACCACAACCTTGCGGGAGACGCATGAAAACATCCTCTTCAAGCTCAGACTGCACAAACGCCTGCTGAATATCGAAATGACACAAGTCAAGGTTCTGCTCACATGCCAAAGCTGCCAACAAACGCACACTAGACACGGATACGGTGGGTGCAAACAATTCTCCAAAATCAATCGAAGCCCTCTGCATGTCCCCCCGCGCTACAAGTCTTGCCTTGAATTTCGTCGGCCATCCGTACTCGTCTGCCTTACAGTTGAATACCCACTTGGCGTTGATGAAGTTTTCTACTGGTTGCTACACCGGACTAAAAGTACCTGCATCCAACAGACCGAAAAACTCCCGACCGACTGCATCATCCCACAACTCTGAATGTTGAGACCGCATGGCCTCCTTGAACGTTTTCGGCACGCGGAGGTCGCTGGCGAGGCAGTGAGGGAGGTCCGGCATCTTGTCAGGAGGGCGCTTGCCACGAAGAGTGGCTTCCACGTCCTCGCGGGTGGCGAACATTGCTGCGAACATGTGCAGGCCCCCCGGCCCTCCAGCTCCTGCGGCCCCCCCGCTCCCATGGCCTGCTAAACTCGTATCTTGCGGCGGTGGGGGAGCGGGAGGGGCGATGCTGGCGGACGGTGGCAGGTCTCGACGTCCTTGATCGACGGCCTCCCGGGTGGCGAGCGACGAGACGAGCGCATCCTTGCCCATCATCGACAGCAGCCCAAGGCGGTGTTGGAGAGCGGTGCCGCCACCTGACGGCGACGGCGGTTGCTGTTGCTCATCCATGAAGCGCACTCGGTCGCCGCGCGTACGGCCATGCACTCTGGTTTCCTTCTCGCCCAATTCTCTGACCGCTCGCTGTGAAAGCGGCGGGTGAGCGGGAGCGGCGGCGCTTGCGGGCGGGGGTGTCGGCGGTGGACGGGGCGGCGTGGCTGCGGTGGACGGCGGTGCACTCGAAGACGCCGTGGAGATCGGCGACGCGGCTCCGGACCCTGTGAAGATCGACGGAGAAGTGGGCGGCGGCGAAGCGGTGGTCGCTGTGGGCGGGGTGTAGGTGTACGTCCGCGATGCCCATGGCGGTGGCGGTGCGGCAGCGGCTGCAGGAACGGCGGCGGCCGGCGAGGGCGCCGCGGTGACCGAAGAGCCCCCCCCGCTGGCCGGTACCGGCGCCGGCACGGCGGTGCGGCGGTTGATCCACACGACGTTGTTGGACAGGCAGATCCTTCCGGTGTCGGCGCTATGCACCCTACGCATCTCCTCCATGCTCACGCCTTCTTTCCCAACTGGAATTTTTTCTTCAGTCAGTACTACGTCACGCACTCCTTCCTGGGCAAACATAGCTACCATGTTCGATCGAAAAATCAAAAACTTAGCCTGCTCATCCTCCCCTTGCTTGAAAACACCATCCCAAGGCGCTAGGCGCTTAGTCTCAGTCATTCGAACCGTCCCTGCGTTAATGGGTACTCTACCCATGTCCCCTGATGAGACGTGAAGTCGACCGGTGAGGGCGTCGGCGAGTGTGCGGGCGATTTCGTCGGTCGTCGGGTTGGCCGATGGCCGCCCCGCGTGTTGCTGGTGGCGATCCTCGTGCTCTCTTCCGGTCCGGACGTCATCTGTCCTCCGCTCCTCTGCTTCTTGCCTCGACATATCGGCCAGTCTTGCTTCTACCCTCTGTTCGACCAAGTAGTTGATCCGGGCTTCCTCCTCTGCTAGTCGGGCGCTCACTCGATCTTGCTCGGTGTCGCTCATCGGTGGCTGCTGCTGATCGCCGCAAAGCGATACTCCAAACTAAGCTCGACTCGAATCTCGTAGACGACGTGTCATACGCTAGCGTGATCGATAATTCGGGTGGCTCAGTTGTGTGTGATGGGAGCGTAGAGCAGCTCGGCCATGACGGGCCGCACGGGTAGGTAAAGACGTGTAGACGTGGTGAAAAACGTGTTGTATTCATCGGGGGCGTGCTTGAGCTCGTCATTCCATCACGGCATCAAGTCACGCATAACGCTTTAATACCCAGAACGAATCTCCATGAATCTCCACCAATCTACTACACTCCCAAGGAAAACACAAAGAAACTTCTTGTCCCTCCGTAGTTCGTCACTGCAATCCCCGCATATGTATACGCAATATACCACCCCCATGCTATGCTACGAGTATATCGAATATCTTCGCCCAGTGAATCACTAAAACTCATTTGTTCGGGAATGCATTATGACTCATGACAGACAAGAGGACATGCAGACAAGCAACCGGATGGGCGAAGGACGGGAGTAAGAGGGGCAAGAGTAGGAGGAAGGGGAGGCTTGAGTAGGTGGGGTCAGGATAGGACTCGGTGGCGACGTCATTGCCTGGCACAACAGCCGAACCAAGTTTTTCGGATGTATAAGCTCGGCCACCGTCTGCGATCTCCTGATCTCCCATCTTCACCATCATCAGTCGTGGTATGCATATGCACATTTGTTTCTGTAGTCTCGACTAAAGGATGAATGCACAACTACAAAGGATGGACTGCACAACAACCTCATCAGCAGCAGTTCGGACTACATGGTGCAGTATCAGGTTCCTTCACAGCATGTGTTGTAATGAACGGTACGCTGCTGTGTACTATGTAGCAGGATTGATGGGTGTGATCCCTTCCAGTCTTTTCCCAGACGATATGGCAGATACGAGACGTAAGCAACTGGCGAGGTGTCAACCCCCCAACATCCGCCGAATCTGTGGGAAAATATAATATCCATCAGAACTGTTTCTTGAGGGATGCCGGCGGATATTTACGAAGCATTTAGTACAGTAGCATTCTACCCATCAAAGCTGTTTCACACAAATTGTACATACCAACCCCCCCTCTTTCTCTCGCTCTCTCTCTTTGTGTGTGTGTTTCGTGATCGTTGTCACGAGACCCCCACACCACCCACATCCACAACCTACTCTTTCCTCCGTCATCGTTCAGCCGAACTCAAGACCCCCATCTTTCCACCACCCGTTGGTAAGGGCGTGTGACATCTGGCCTTGCGGACGTGTGTTCATAAGTGTCGCTCTTCTCGTGGCCGAAATGAACGACTCTATTTTACATCCCTGATGAGCGTTAGGCGGTACTGATGCCAATGCTGTTGTGTCCGATCCTCTTCACGCTTCCGGACCCTCCGGGCTTGTGGTTCCTGCTGATGGCGTGGTGTGTGTCACAGGCAACAGGATGAAGGTGCTTTGGACCCTCCTTCTCGGCGCGGCTCCCGTCGCATTTGCGGAAGATTCGACGGCGGCTGTATGGCTGGGCGACCACTCAATTCAGGTGCGATACACGTGTTCTCGGCGTATGAGAGATACGAATAAGGACCCGGCAGAGATGAAGCCTACAGTAGTCGTCATTCGCTTTCATGTATCATGTGTGTGTGCTCGCCCGCGCGCGCGTGTGCGCTGATACAGACAGGCCAGCGTGCCGAAGTTGCATCAAGAGCAGGACCCGCTTGTTTCCTCTGGTCCTGACGGTAGTTGACCGCGGAAACTGCAGGATTTTGGTTCGTTGATGGTCTCTTACATTGCTCTACAGCATAGAATCGTTGATGGTCTCTTGCATCTCTCTACAGTAGTGGTTTGTCTACATCATGAAAGACTACAGTACAGCATTACATCTACACTCGAGGTGTTCTTCTCGTCGTACTTGATCACTTATCCGTAAGAGTCCTCCTGCCAGAAGGCAGGCGACCCTTGATGTTTCTGCTCGCCTACAGTGCGGTCATTTCGGCGACATGTCCTGGAAGCAGCACACAGTTGGCTCCTCTATGCATATAAATATACGAACGGCACGTACAAGAACAGAAAAGGTTACGTACTGTGGCAGTCGGACGCAAGTCAAAGGACGTGCTCCTGCCAATGCCGACAATACGCCGATACGCCGATACTGCACGTTACATTTTAGCTCAAGTCCATAAACTCCAATGGGCTACGACAGGCTCCCACCCTGCGGTCCCCTTCCCCTCCCCCTTGATCTCTCAGATTCGTCCCTTGTTTTGACATACGAATTAAGTAAGTACTACATGACTGTTGTTGTGCAGGGCGAGGGGTTGGTCGCTGAGACAGGAAGCTCTCTCCAACGGAAAGTCTCCAAGAAAAATGAAGGCCCTTCACATCACGGCGCTCGCTCCAGCCGCAAATCTCGCCCATGCCGCAAGCGCAACAACGACGGGGTCAAGGCGGTACGTACATTGTGCACTCCAGACCAGGACGGCTTCGGACGAGCCCTAACAACCATTAGCGGGTGCGGCGTGTAGGTTGTGGCCACCGTATTACTTCCCAATACTCACGCGAAGGGGTGTTTATTACTATGGGGCTCTTCGGTCTCCGATGTGACTGCTGTACGTTGTCAACTACTGAGAATGCGTTTCATTCCTCTTGTGCATTGCAGTCCTGCTGCACGGGTTGTTCCTGCACCGCACGTGTTTCTATTCTTCGTGGAGTATCAGATAGTCGGTACTGTAGGTAACCTTCGCCGATAAACGATTATTACTGTTTGGTTGTTCTTTTCCACTCGTGTTTTTTGGGGCGTTTTGCACTACGACTGCTCTCCAGGAATTCTCCCTCGAGTACGAGCACATCGGATGCTTTGCTGACAACAAAACCGACCGGGTGCTCGGACACCTGATGAAGTCACCTCTTATGACGAGCGCTGTGAGTGGCCCCCTTCGCGGCCTGGGGTTGTCGGCGAAACCAGCCACATCCCATACAATTCGTATGGTTCAAAGTGCGTATCCTGCAGCAGAATGAATGGCGGCATCAGACCCCGGCATCACTATTGTTAGCCCCCGCCTCCTCAGGGGTTGGTGTGCTTGTCTGTTTCGTCATTGCGACAGAGACGGCGCTACGTCGAGCAGGATGAAACTCTGCACGGTTGGTGTCTGTACCGTGTCGGTTGGTTTCATTTGCATGGACTGCGAGGCCCTGAACTTGGTTTCATTTGCATGGACTGCGCGCCTCTGACCCGCACAACGTGCTGAATTAACCTTCCTTCGGAGGACGGTTCGCCGCGCGGCACAACTAACCTGAAACAACCAGCCTCTTCGGTCTGTTTACTCAAAATGCAGCAGGCCACGGCGAGCTGCGTCGTGTTCGTGTGGTCAGCGATGCGTGTTCAAATCCTTCCCCGCTCCACACTCGCACATCCAGATGTGCGCCGAGCACTGCTTCGGAAGACGCGCCACCTACATGGCCCTTCAGTACGGGTATGAATGCTGGTGCAGCCGGTACACGGAGCTTGACTATTCTCGCCACTCTGGGACGGACAAGGGCGACGCGGACCTATGCGATCTTAGCTGCTACGGATGTGACGTGAGTCATTTGCGAGAAATACTCTAACGCGCTGGCGGGTATTTTAGACTCACGCTCCCATTTCCAAACCACTGTAGCGAGGATAACGAAATCATATGAAAAATATCAATGGAGCGAACTACTGTACACAGGCAGGCTTGGGTTAGCCGATTCCCCTAGTAAAAAAATGATACTACTCTCTGCTGCGACTCCTCGCTTGCTTTCGGCCCTATTGAATACTTCCCCCGCAAGATTTCTGAATGTTTGGGGCCTTGGCTTGCGCGGCAGGGGGGCGGGGTGGGAACAGGAGGACGTATTTGAGTCTCGTGGTATGCATTAGAAAGGTTTGTCTAGAGGGTAGTTTCCCTTCGTACATGTCATTAATGTCCTCATTGATAAGCGCGTGGAGATAAGGTTGGCCAACCCATGCATGAACAAAGTGGTTCCCGATTCGTACAATCTACAGATCACCGTTTTTCAACCCAACCCGATGTCACACTTCCTCTGCTCCCTCTCTGGTTTTCGTATCTCCCTTCCCCATTAGGCTGAGACTTGCGGAGGATTATATGCCTTCGGTAAGCCCCGTTACTCTGTCGCTGCGTACTAATAATCGATGCTTTGATTATTTCAGACTTGTACAGTAGTACACTCCTCTGGTCTTGAGGTTTCATTGGTTTGTGCGTTTTTCTTCTTCCTTTCCGACGTCGAAAAATATCGGCGCAGGCGCGTGGTCGAACGAGGCTGGAGCTAATTCAATGCAACACCATTCGTCATTGTGCACTTATCAAACCGTTTTTCTGGTATACCACATGTACTCTCATTAACTGCTCGTTCGTTTCTGTTCGTTTTTGGTCCAGACCTGTACAAACTCGACGGCCCAATGCCGTCCGACAGTCGCGAGTATGTAGGCTGCTTCGCAGATGACCAGGAGGACAGGGCACTGGCAAACAAGATAAAGTTCCAGGACAACATGACCCAGGACGTCTGCCGCGTCTACTGTGAAAGGTTCGGCTCGAGCTTCTACGCCACTCAGGTGTGAGGGATGTGTATAAGAAGCACACGCACGAACGCCAAGGGTTGTTGTTGCGTGCATTCACTCTCGTGTGCGTGCGTGTATACGCTTGGGCTGAGTGCATTCGGCGCAGTCTTCCACTGAGTTGAGATGCAGCGCGCCGTGAGAATATCATCGCCGTGTTCCTCTTGCGTCGCCCCCGGGAAGCATTTCACCAAGCAGCCGAAGCGCGGTATTAAAACTTGGAATTCTTGTTGGTATCGGTGTCGGTGCTTGGTGCAACGTCGTCCCTATAGCTGCTCTTCTCGGCTTTTCGCCCGCCTACTCCTGCCGTCGCCTCACGTAACACGAAAAAGTACGGAGATGAGTGCTGGTGTGGTGCGACCGACGACGTCGAGGAGTACAAACGGCACGGGGACGGCGAGTGCATCGCCGGCTGTTTCGGGGACCCGGCGATAGCTTGTGGTGAGCGACGAATTAAAAGGGCGAGGGAAGAGACGGAAGCACGACACCCAGGGGCGGAATGACAGGCATTAGGAAGAGAGCCGGAAAGGGAGGCAGAGAGAGCGAACGGTAGCCTACCAGCCGGCCAGCCGGAGAGGGCATAGCGGTCCTCGAACCAATAGCGCGGTAGGAGGACATTGTGAACCTTGATAAATATTCGATGAGCATCCCATTCTGCACCCTCCTCCTCGTCCCCTTTTCTGCACAATGCATCCTATCAAAAATGCCACCCAGTCATTCCCTGCGCTCTCATGTAGGGTATCTCATCTACAAACACGACCTACGTGTCACTGCGTACCTCAGCATTTCGAAAGGTTATGCATGCAATTCCCGCTCGCCTTTACTTTTCCCAACAAAAATCGCGAACAGGATACTTCCTCACTTATTCGGATTTCTTCACCGAAACACAGACTGTACTGTAGCCCCCCCGTGCTCACCCCGATCGTCCCAGGCGGATACTATGCCTTTAGTCTGTTCGAGTACTTGGACGACGACGACGACGAGACCGCCACCGAGTGCGCCGACGAGGGTAGCGACGACGACGACCACGGCGAAGACGCTTGGTATACCCCGTCTCCGTCGACCGCCCGCACGGACAGCCCAGAATCTCCGACAACCTCGGAGATGCCCGGGTTCATGCCTATCGATGGTGATTTGCCGCTGTGTCAGAATTCTGCAACCTTGGCTTGACTTCACCAAAAAAAAGCCGCATTGATTGGATTTTTTGTGACGATGTGACGTTAATTCCCATTGTCTTCTGGAGACGTTCCGGGCAACAGGACGGCGCTGAAACGCGCTATCGAGCCCCTGATGTGAAGGCAGACCCCAACGAAAACGTTGACCCACTTCGGGTAGCACGAAAATAAATGGTATCGTTCTTTCTACCGTGGAAATCTAAAATAAGTCGTGCCTGGAATTCGTTGCCTTCGTTGGAAAAATTGTGCCTTATCCCGTAACCATCTCAATAACCGGGACCTATCTTCCGCACCAGCGTACACCCGCGGTAATATTGGCTTTTGTATCCACCTCAAACAATCAACTCAACATGTGCACATTGCAGAAGCGACGTGCAGTGACGGTACCCCGGGCATCGAGTCCAACGGCGGCGCTTGCTGCGTGGCCAGGTGTGTCTCATGATCCATCCTTTGAATAACCGCCTCTCGCATTCCCTGTCTTGGCTCCGGCCGTACCTTGCTCAACTCAAGACTTCCGATCCAGGGCCACTCACGCCCCCCCCCCCCCCCCCATGGATGGCTGCATTATAAAAAAAACCGGTCCTTTTTTTCCCCCCACCCCCAAAAAAATGGGAATTTTTTTTGAAAGTACCCCAACCAAACCCCCTATCCCCCAAAAGAAAACCCCAGGTGGGGTAAAAAAAAGGCTATTTAAAAGGGTTTTAATCAATCTTTTTGCCCCCAATGAAGAATTATTGGCCTTTTGAACCCATTTTCCCCCCCGGGGGCCCCATTAAGGCCTGTCTGTGCGTAACAACCCAAAATTTCGGTGGGGGAAGGAAACCCACCCCCGGGTTCCCTCCCATGTTATTTTACAAAAGTGTGTAACTTCCCAGGGAATAACCCTTTTCTTTCCTGGAAACCAATAATGGAAAATTTCTCCCTGGAAATGTGGGAATTTCCTTTCCTGGAAACTCGCAAACAACTTTCATGGGAGTGCGGAAGAATTTCCTGGAAATTTATGTATTGGGGGGTTCCCCAA